TGTTATAGAAACTGAGGCAGTAAGTAATTGAGCTGAGGAGTATTTGCAAATTCAGTGTTCTCGGGCTCTTAGGGCCATCAGAACATCCCCATATTCTTTTTTTTTGAGACAGAGTCTTGCTCTGTTGCCAGGCTGGAGTGCAGTGGCACAATCTTGGCTCACTGCAACCTCCGCCTCCTGGGTTCAAGCTATTCTTCCGCCTCAGCCTCCTGAGTAGCTGGGACCATAGGTGCGTGCCACCAGGCCCAGCTAATTTTTGTATTTTTAGTAGAGACGGGGTTTCACCATGTTGGCCAGGCTGGTCTTGATCTCTTGACCTCGTGATCCACCCACCTCAGCCTCCCAAAGTGCTGAGATTACAGGCATGAGGCACTGCCCCCGGCCTTTTTTTTTTTGAGACAGAGTTTCACTCTTGTCATCCAGACTGGAGCGCAATGGTGCCATCTTGGCTCACTGCAAGCTCCGCCTCCCAGGTTCAAGCAATTCTCCTGCCTCGGCCTCCTGAGTAGCTGGGACTGCAGGCGCGCCCCATCACACTTGGCTAATTTTTGCATTTTTAGCAGAGACAGGGGTTTCACCATGTTGGCTAGGCTGGTCTCGAACTCCTGATCTCAGGTGATCCACCTACCTCAGCCTCCCAAAGTGCTGGGATTACAGGTGTGAGCCACTGCGCCTGGCCAGAACATCCCTATATTCTTTCCACTATTTCTCTGCATTGCTGCTAAACCTGTACAGGACCTATAAAGGTCTGCCATGGTCAATGGTTTGGTGGCAACCATTTGCATTCTGGCGTTCCTGGGGATGCTTATCACATCGTTTTGTTCATGATGTAATCTGAGAAATTTTTTCTTTGCTATCATAATGGTTTTTTTGCTATCATAATGTTTTTAAGATAGTACTCAGGGAGATCCAAAACTATACTACAGGCCAGGTGCTATGGCTCATGCCTATAATTCCAGCACTTCAGGAGGTCGAGGCAGGATGATTGCTTGAGCCCAGGAATTTGAGACCAGCCTGGGCATCATAGGGAGACCCCGTCTCTACAAAAAAAAAATTTTTTTTAATTAGCTGGGTGTGGTGGTGCATGCCTATAGTCCCAGCTACTTGAGAGGCTGAAGTGGGAGGATCGTTTGAGCCAGGGAGGTCCAGGCTACAATAAGCCATGATCGTACCACTGCACTCCAGTCTGGGTGACACAGCAAGCTCTTGTCTCAAAAAAACCAAAAACCAAAAAAACTGCACTACCATTAATACCTTGCATTGGCCCATTAGTCCAGTACTGACTTGTTAAAGAAACCAGGCCAGTTATGTTGTAGAATGTCCCACGTTCTGTATCATCTGATTGTTTCCTCATGATGCCATCTGACTTTTCCTTTATCTCCTGTATTTTCTGTAGACTTGAAGTTAGGTCTAGAGGTTTGATCAGTTTCAGGTTAAGCATTTTTAACAAGAATATTTAAAAATGACCAAGAATGCTTCATGGTAATATGTGCAACCACTTTGATGATGCAAAATTTTCTAACTAGTAAGCCATTTGTGGACTGACATTTTAGAGAGTAGGATATTAGCATCCTGTTCCAAAACAACTTTTATTGAATTTTTTTTAACATCCCTCAAGGATCTTTGCCTGAATCGATTATTACACTGAAGCTTGCAAAATAGTGATTTACTAATTACACAATTATTTCTATATTTATTAGGTGGCATTCTTTTATAAATAATGGCTATAGTAAATACTGTGTGCTCTGCTCAGATCTCCTCTACAGGGCCAACACACTATCCCCCCAACTTCTGGGAAAATCAGCTACTGACTTCACAGCTATGTCCCTCACTTCAAACTGCCCTTGGCTACAGGGAACTGCTTTGCTCAAGGCTACCCACCTCTTTTACCCATCAAGGAACCGGCAGTAGTCAATGAGGATCTGATGCAGAAATACAAGTCATGTGTGGCTTATGATGGGGCTACATTCTGAGATACGTTCCGTTAGACAGTTTCATCCATGTGCGAACATCATAGAGTGTACTTACACAAACCTAGATGGTATCATCTACAACACATGATAGGCTACATGATACAGCCTATTGCTCCTAGGCTACAAACCAGTACAGCATATGATTGTTCTGGATACTACAGGCAATTGTCACACAATGGTATTTGTGTACATAAACATATCTAAAAATAGAGAAAGTAGTGCATCATGCTAAGATGTTATGACAGCTACAATGTCACTAGATGATAGGAATTTTTTAGCTTCATTATAATCTTGTGGGATCACAGTCGTATACGCGGTCTGACATTCACTAAAACATTCTTAGGCAGTGCGTGACTGTACAAACTCGCCTTCGTTTGAGGCAACTCTGAAGGGCCATCTCAGCTCCAGAGCTCTCTGTAGACTTGTCTTAGGCCTCAGTTGTAACTGCATTGTAGGTCAACTTCTCTCTCGGTCCAATCTTGTCTTCCTCGCCCTCTTACAGATGTTTCTCCACAGATCTCTTTCCAATAAGCTTTCTGTATACAGCTTTCCATCTGAGAGTCTGTTAACCTGAAATCCATTATAAGACAAAACAAACAGCTTTTGCCTTTTTTCCTTTTAACCTTTCCTTTTTATGTTTTTGAGGTATCACTATGAATTTAGGGACTTTAATTTATTGAATGTGTTACAATAAATGACGGCCGTTATTCTTTTTGATGTTGAAATGATCTCAAATGTGGCTAGTAAAGGCCCTTCATGATGCTGCCTATGTCACGAGGCCCCATGAGTCTTTAAGCATTTCCTTTGCTTTTTTAGCACAATAAGAAAGCCCATGAGCACCATGTATTCTTCTACCGCCAGACCCAGAATTAGACATTACTCTAAAAATCTCTGGTGACTTTTTAGTGAGAATGGTGTTTAGAGATCAAGAGAATGGGCACTAAGGGTAAACTATTTTGTTTAATTTCATTATCTAAATGTCTTTTTGTTGATATACAGAAATGCAATGCATTTCTGCACAGACATTCACTGGGATTGCATTAGAATTAGAATTAAGTTCTCCTGAATCTCAATGTATATTAGGAATATTTTCAGCTGCAAGTAGCAGGATGCCCACGCACAATGGCCTACAAAAACGAGATGATAAGGAGTCTGGGTATAGCTTACCTGATAAGGATTCTGAGTATAGCTAGTCTGGGACTAAGGCAATGACTCAATGATCCTGTCGGTGGGACCCAGATTATTACTATTTAGCAGCTCTTAGTTTGTCCTCATGCTTTTTGCCTCGCTGTTACAAGATGACTGGCCTACACCAGGTATTGTCTACATTCCAGGCAAAAATAAGGAAGAATAAAGAAGTTAATGACAAAAATATGTTCTCCTTTCCAGATTTTGCTTTTTTATTGGGGAAAGATGCGCTCTCTGGCTGGGTGTGGTGGCTCACACCAGTAATACCAGCACTCTGGGAGGCCGAGGCAGAAGGATTGCTTGAGCCCAGGAGTTTCAGATCAGCTTGGGCAACATGGCAGGACCCCATCTCTACAAAAAAATACAAAAATTAGCCTGGTGTGGTGGCCTGTAGTTCCAGCTACTCGGGAGGCTGAGTTGGAAGGATTGCTTAAAACCAGAAGATGGTGGCTGCAGTGAGCTGTGATCATGCCACTGCAATCCAGCCTGGGTGACAGAGTGAGACCCTGTGTCAAAAAACAAATGTTCTCTCCAGATAATTCCACTTGCTCATTATTAGACAAAACTGTCACAAGTTCAGCTCTTGATGTATAATAAAGTAGGTCAGAAAATTGAGTTTTATTTCTAGCTGCTAACCCAGAATTATACTCCCAGTGAAAATATCCTTTAAAATGAACATTAAAAGGCCCGGCGCAGTGGCTTATTCCTGCAATCCCAGCACTTTGGGAGACCGAGGCGGGAAGATCACGAGGTCAGGAGATCGAGACTATCCTGGCCAAGATGGTGAAACCCTGTCTCTACTAAAATACAAAAAAATTAGCCAGGTGTGGTGGCACATGCCTGTAGTCCCAGCTACTCAGGAGGCTGAGGCAGGGGAATCTCTTGAACCTGGGAGGTGGAGGTTGCAGTGAGCCAAGATTGTGCCACAGCACTCCGGCCTGGGCAACAGAGTCAGAGTCTATCTCAAAATAATAAAATAAAATAAAATAAAATAAACATAAAATAAAACTAGTCTCAGAAAAATCAAAATGGGTACAATTAATTGTCAACAGACCTACACTAAAATAAATACTAAAATATTTATTCAGGTTAGAAAATAATGATCCCCAAAATATGAAAATGCAAAAAGGAATAAAGAATACTGAAAAGGATAAATACGTAGGTCAATCTATATGAATACTTATTGTATTAAACAATTATCATAATGTATTGGAAGTCTTAAAATATACGTAGAACTGACATTCAGAGCAACAATAGTACAAAATAAAAGGGGGGATTAATTTAGTTGAAATATTTTACATCATTGCATTGTTGAGGAAGTAGTAAATATAGTAATCTGTAGTGGACTAATAAATCAAGGGTGGCATCAGTGAATGGTTGAAACAGCCCGTAGGGACCTACAATGTTGGGTCCTTTGAGTAGTTGTGTATAGCCTAAGATTTTTTGTTCGAAGAGTGTAAGGACCTCTATAGTGGTAAGAGTGGGGATAATGAGTAGGAGAAGGTAAATTATAGGTATGTTGTTAAGAAGAGGAGTCGAACCTCTAATTATAAAGTTTTAAGATTTATGCAATTGCTGGGCTCTGCCGTCTTAGCAAATCCTGTTCTTGGGTAGTGTGTTTGATGATTTGTTAGATTGAGCTAGCATCATCTATGCAGTGAGGGCACTTTATGAAGTGGACCCTATTTCTCTTGTCTTTTTGTGCTAGGAGAAATATTAAATACATAGAAACCAACCTGGATTACTCCAGCCTGAACTCAGATCATGTAGGACTTTAATTGTTGAACAACGAACACCTGATAGCGGCTACACCTTTAGGATGTCCTGATCTAACATTAAGGTCGTAAACCCTATTGTCGATATGGACTCTAGAATAGGTTTGCGCTGTTATTCCTAGGGTAATTTATTCCGTTGATCAAATTATTGGGTCAATGTGCATTAATTCGCTTAGACTAGTGCGGTCTTAGTTTAGGTTGTTCGGAGTTGAATTATGCTCCAAGGTCACCCCAAGCAAAATTTTTAATGCAGGGATACTAGGGTAGGCTCTGTAGGATTGAGTTATTTGCAGTAATGAATTAAAGCTCCACAGGGTCTTCTGGTCTTATTTGTTTATATCCGCCTCTTCACGGATGGGTCAATTTCACTGATTAAAAGTAAGAGACAGCTGAACCCTCGTGTCGCCATTCATACCAGTCCTTATTTAGGGAACAAGTGATTTTGCTACCTTTGCATGGTCAGGATACCACGGCTGTTAAACATATATCACTGGGCAGGCAGCGCCTCTAAACTGGTAATGCTAGAGGTGATGTTTTTGGTAAACAGGAGGAGTATGATTTACCGAGTTCCTTTTACTTTTTGTGATCTTTCCTTAGAGCATACTTGTGTTGGGTTAACAGTATAAATAACAGATTGCTTATTATATTGTTTATTAATATTAGGTTGTTAAGTGTCAATGGGTTATTCTGGTCTGATGTAAGCTTATGCAATGGAGGATGTCTTTATGTGACTCATAATCACATTACTGCTTCTATTAAGTAACAGATTAGTCCAATGTGATGTTAGAAGTTCAGTAATTAGAATTTAAGATAGTTAGATATTGAGCTTAAACACTTTCTTAATTGGTGGCTGCATTTGGGCCAATTATGGTAGTAATATTTTTCACTCTCTGTAGGAAGGTTGTTTCCTAGGGTCTAAAGAGCTGTCCCTCTTTAGACTCACAGTTAAACTTGCAGGGAGATTAAGTAATTCTGTGGGTAAGTTTAAAGTTGAACTAAGATTCTATCTTGGACAATCAGCTATCACCATGCTTGGTAGGCTTGTTACCGCTACTCATGAATCTTCCCACTATTTTGCCACATAGGTGAGCACGCTCTTTCAGCCGTTCTTGGATAGCTCATCTGGTTTCGGGGGACTTGGCTATAGTTCTCTGTGTAAAGTTATTTCTGGTGAATACATTATGCAGAAGGCATAAGGGCTTGTCTTTGCTTTTTAGTACTTGATACAGGTCTTTCATTTTTCCTTTACAGTGCTATATCTATTGCACCAGGATAAAAATTTATATTGTCTATACTTTTGTCTAAGATAAATGGTTTGGTTAAGATATTTTGATAATATTTTTAGTGAGGTTTGGGGCTAGAGTTGGCTCAAAGTGATCAGGTCATGATGAAATCTTCCAGGTGTAAGCTACACTTTGGTTTGTTCAAGTGCTCTTTCCAGGTTGCTTACCATGTTATGACTTATCTCTTCTGTAGGTGTGCAGAAAATTATTAGTAATAGTGATTTCTAGAGTAATATTTGAGGAGGGTGACGGGCGGTGTGTGTGTGCTTCATGGCCTTATTCAACCAAGCACCCTGTTCTTGATTTACTGCTAAATCCTCCTTGAGCCCTTAGATTTCATAAAGGTTGCCGTGAGATTTTCTGGATATAGAAAATGTAGCGCACTTTTTGCCACCTCATGGGCTATGCCTTGACCTAACATTTATATGTGTGTATTTGTGCGTACTCTATAGCCTTCTAAGGTTTTGCTGAAGATGGCGGTATATAGGCTGGGGGCAACAGGTGGTGAGGTGTATCGGGGTTTATTGATTATAGATCAGGCTCCTCTAGAGGGATATAAAGCACTGCAAGTCCTTTAAGTTTTAAGCTGTTGCTTGTAGTACTCTGGCAAATGGTTTTGTTAATATAACTATTAGAGTTTAGGGTTAAGCATAGTGGGGTATCTAATCCCAGTTTGGGTCTTAGCTATTGTGTCTTCAGGATATTAAAGACACTTTCTTAGTATATTTTATTTCGGCTGGAGTTTTTAACAACTTAGATGGGGTTTAGCTTTACTGAGACCTTAAACACTCTTTACACTGAGTTCTATTAGTGCGGGTTAATCGTATGGCCGGGGTGGCTGGCATGAAATTAACCAAACTTAAATGTTAGTGTAGCTTAGCCAAACTTTCATTTGTTACTAAAGATTTCTCAGGCTGGGCGTGGTGGCTCACGCCTATAATTCCAGCACTTTGGGAGGCAAAGGTGGGGGGATTACAAGGTCAGGAGATCAAGACCATCCTGGCTAATAAGATGAAAACTCTTCTCTACTAAAAAAAAAAAAGGTACAAAAAATTAGCCGGGTGTGGTGGCGCACACCTGTAGACCCAGCTACTCGGGAGGCTGAGGCAGGAGAATCGCTTGAACCTGGGAGGCAGAGGTTGTAGTGAGCTGAGATCGCACTTGCACTCCAGACTGGGTGACAGATTGAGACTCTGTCTTAAAAAAAAAAAATTGATCACTGCTGTTTGCCATGGGGGTGTGGTTAAGGCAAAGTGTTTTGAGATGCATTTGTGCGTGCTTGATACCTGCTCCTTTTGATCTGGGTGATCTAGAGGGCATTTTCACTGGGGTGGGGATGCTTGCGTGTGTGTAATCTTACTAAGAGCTAATAAAAAGGCCAGGACCAGACCTATGTGTTTATGGGGTTGGGTGGACCCACCTAGAAGTTTTCAATGTCTTGCTTTGCACGATTAAGCTACATTAACTACATAAATACTTAGTGGAAAAGTTGAGATATGAAAAAGGAAGAAATAAGTGTGAATAGTCGTTTACAGTTCTGGAAATTCAGGGTGTTTAAGGCTAATTGGCAGAGGTTTGGCTGGGAGGATTAGTTATAATTAGAGTATATTTAATTTAGGGTGTGATATAATGGGGCAGTGCTTTCAGACGGATATGCTCAAGGTATTATATTAGTATTAGGGCGAAAATTTTAGCTATTATATCTATTATACAAAGTGGAGTGTTAATTTGGTAGGAGGTTCTTAAGATTTTTCAGAAAAATTATATCAATCAATATAGCCCTCAACAGGGCTAGTTGTTGAGGTGTTCTTCGTTAAAATATGATTTCTAAGCTCTGATTCGGTTGCATTTTAGTTTCTTGTTTTTGGGCTTTGGCAAGGGTATGTTTATCTAGGTTTATGGTAAAGTCAGAGATTGGGGGAGGAAGGTTTGCAGATTTCATCAGAATGAGTTCTTGAAATTGTGCATACATGCATGAGCGTCTATTGATTAATTGTTATGTCCTTCAATTAATTAAACCTTATGCTTGTTATGCCAGCCCAGAATACTCAATATAAGCTCAGCTTCTACAATTGGTTTGGCAGAAATCAAATCTGATTAGGTCTACAGAGGATTCAGCAGGTACCAGGCCTTCCGAAACAGTGAGCAATAGCATCTCCCAAAGTTAAAAATACCAAATGCATGACAGTGCTCCCATGACTAGTTAATAGGGTGGTACTCACCAGTCCATTGAGATGTCTTATTTAAGGGGAACATGTGGGTGATCTTAGTGTTATGGCCCTGAGGTAAGAACCAGATGCCATCATAACCTCTAGGATCATTAAAATAATGATTAAAGAATGCAAAACTAAGAAAGTAAAAGAAGGCAAATGGAATAATAAAAGTTAATTGATTAATCCAAAAGTCAGAAAAGGAGGGGAAAAAAGGAACAAATGATGGAAGACAAAACAGGTGACAAGCAGTAAGATGGTATACTGAAACATATATCAGTAATTATGATGAAGTTCAAATTGTCAGAAAGGATTTTAAAAAGAAAGGTAACTATATGTAGTTTACAGGAAATGTATCGTTAACATGAAAACACAGAGATGAAAGGCAAAATGATGGAATATAATATATAATACAAATACTAATCCAAAGAACGTTAGTGTAGCTAGATTAATATTGTGAGTTGAATGGTAGTCCCTAGAAAGATACATCCTAACCCCCAGAACCTATGAATGTAGCCTTATTTGGAAAAGGGATCTTTGCAAAAGTAATTAAATTAAGGATCCTGAGATTAGATTATTCAGATCAGCTCTAAACCCATTGACAAATGTCCTTATTAGAGACTTAAGAGGAGAAGACAGAGAAGAGGAGAATACCACGTAAAGAAGCAGAGACTGGCATTATGTAGCCATGAGCCCAAAAATCCTCAGAGCCACCAGAAGGTGGAATAATAGAAAGCATCCTTCCCCAGCACCTTTGGAAGAATTGCAATCCTGTCAAACCTTGATTTTAGACTCTGCCCTCCAGAACTGTGTGAAAGTAAATTTCTCTCTCTTTTTTTTTCTTTTTTTTTTTTTGAGACAGAATTTCACTCTATCACCAGGCGCCAGGCTGGAGTGCAGTGGCGTGATCTTGGCTCACTGCAACCTCCGCCCCCCAGGTTCAAGCAATTCTCCTGCCTCAGCATCCCAAGTAGCTGGGACTACAGGCACATGCCACCAGGCCCAGCTAATTTTTGTATTTTTAGCAGAGACGGGGTTTCACCATGTTGGCCAGGATGGTCTCGATCTCTTGATCTCGTGATCTTCTCGCCTCGATCTCCCAAGTGCTGAGACTACAGGCGTGAACCACCATACCCAGCTGCAAATTTCTCTTTTTAAGCCACTAAATTTGTGGTAATTTGTTACAGCAACCCTGGAAAACTAATAAAGATTTTAGTACTAGGAAGCAAAGTGCTGGAGTAACAAATAGCTAAAAATGTGGAAATGGCTGTGGAACTGGGTACTGGACAGAGGCTGGGAAAAGTTTAAGAAGCATGATGGAAAAATTCCAGATTGCTTTGAAATGATTGTTAGTAGAAATATGAACATCAAGGCAATTCACATCAGGGCTCAGGAGGAAATGGGGAGTATGGTAAAGAAGGCTTCTATCATCTTAGAGAATACATATGTTATGCAGAATGTTGATAAAAATATGAACAATAAAGGCACTTCTAGTAAGAATGCCGAAGGAAATGAGGGACGTGTCATTGGGAATGGAGAAAAAGTGATCCTTGTTATATAGTGGCAGAAAACTTGGCTGAATTGTATTCTACAGTTGGGTAGAAAGCAGAACGTATAAGTGATGAATCTGGGGGTGTAGCTGAGGAGATTTCCAAGCAGTGTTAAAAGTGTGGCCTAGTTTCTTCTTGCTGCTTAAAGTAAAATGCAGAAGGAAAGAGACAAATTGAGAAAGAAATTGTTAAACAAAACAGAATGAACATTTGATGATTTGGGAGGTTCTTTGCCTACCCAGTTTGCAAAAGATGCTAAAATTAGAAAATTCACTGTTGGAGAAAAAAAAAAAAAAAGAAAATTCACCGTTGGGAATATATGTTCCTGAGAGAGGTGTTGCTAGATACCTTTTTGCTGAAGAGATTAGGTGTGTGACTCATGGACCCAATCAACTATCTCAGCAGAAGCCGAGAATCAAGGGATGGAAATGAGAACGGCGCGACCCACCGCTAGAGATCCAGTAGCAAAATTTTGGCTTCCAATCTCTGCGACCTTATCTTCTACTGGTCTAGAGATCTTGGTTTCAAAGGAAGGAATGCTTTCCACTAGGAGGCACAACAAGGATTCCATTGAACTGGAAGTAAAGACTGCCATCCAGCTGCTTTGGGCTCCTCATGCCTCTAAATCAACAGGCAAAGAAGGCAGTTACTGTACTGGCTGGGGTGACTGGGCCTGATGACCAAGGGGAAGATGGGGTGCCCTTCTAAATTCTTCCAGCCTCTAACCATTACCCAATTTCAAAGGTGCTTCCACATTTTCAGGTATTTGTTATAATCCCTCGTGCAATAGAGGAAGGAACCAGGGAGAG